ATTACTGAAACTACTGTTCTCTTTCTCTCGTCAGGAAAGATTTACTTTTTAGGAGAGCAAACCTTACTGCCTATTTGTTTTAGGATTTTGGTGTGTTGTGTGTGTGGGAGCAGTCATTGGAAAGGTTTGGTGTCGTCCCCCCGCCCCCCTTATAAGTGTTGGCAATAGGCTTTTTTTGGCTGATGTGGCCGATTTAAATGCTGTCTGCATGCGTACAGCCACAGTGCAGCAGGCAGGGGGCCAAAATCAAAGCCTAGCAGTGTGGAGAGCATCAGGGTCCAGCTGGTAAATTGGTTGTGGGGAAAGGGGCGGGAGAGGGAAGGGGTGTGGGGGGTGGGCAGACTGGGGCCCTAGTGGTGAGAGAGGGGCTGGGGCAGGCATTGCACAGCCAGGGTGGGGCAGGGCGTGGGATGGAGCAATGAATAGCCCGTCTGGAGGGTGCAGGAATGGGGTAGTGCCTCCTGCCGCTGCGTGCACCCTGGGAGGGTGTGTGCCCCTGGATTTGTGTGTGGGACCAGGGCAGGCTGCTGGTATGGGTTGGGGAGGTGCTGGGCTCTTGTCAACGGAGGGGTTGGACCAGGGCTGCGTGCACTGCAGGTGACGGCAGTAATGAGAGGGGGACTACAGCAAATTTTTACCATAGCTTCCCTCCCAGCACCACCACTACCCGCCCTGAATGCAGCCCGGCCCAGACCCCTGCTGGGAACAGCTCAGCACCCCCCTGGCCCCAGCCCGCAGCGGCAGACCACCCTCATCCCGCATGCAGATCTAGGGGCACACGCCTCCCGTGCCCTCCTGGGGTGCGCGTAGCAGTGGGAGCCATGTCTCTGTGCCATGCACCACCCTGGCTGTGCAGTGCCTGCCCCTGTCCCAGCCCTACTCCCTCCTTCACCATGGGGGCCTCAATCTGTCCATCCCCCATCCCCCACACCCTTTTCCCCACAACAGACTTACCAGCTGGACACTGGTCTCCAAGCTGCCCAGCTGCATATTGGCAGTTGGATCAGTACTGGTCAATATGACTCATTAAAAATCAGCTATCGGTATCTCTTATTGGTGCAGCCCTAGTTATAATAGATATTTGATATTTAGTGTGTGTGTGTATGTATGTACATGCGTGTATGTGTACATGTACATGCGTGTACGTGTGTGTGTATAGTTTGTTAAAATATCTTCTGAAAAGTTTTGTGTGCAGCCCTTGACAGCTCACCAAAATTCATTAAGTGGCCTGCTGGCTAAAATAATTGCCAGCTAAAATAATTGCCGACTCCTGACATAGACAAGTTTATCAAGTGCTGTAATGTGTACATATAAACAAATGCCATTGAAATTTTTATGAAGCTTTAGAAGGGCATGTGAAATTCTTATGTTGATTGGTGCACTTTGACACCTTGTTTTATTTCAGGTGAAGTCAAATGAAAATGTAGTTGGAAGAATTTCTAAGCAGTGGACTGGATTTGTAAGAGAGGCATTTACAGATGCTGATAATTTTGGAATCCAGTTCCCAATGGACCTTGATGTTAAAATGAAAGCTGTGATGATTGGTGCTTGCTTCCTTATTGTAAGTCTGTAATTCACTAATTTTTTAATATCCAAATATAAACTCACTTTTCATCCATATATTTAAATTGTACTAGTGTAAGAGTCAATCCTGGGCTCACCGAAGTCAGTGGGATAAATGATGAAGCTTGTAGGGAGCATGGCAAATTAATTTTTCAGGTGATGGTTTTATATTTGAAATCTGAAATACTAAATCAAATATGAATGGCTGCTTTTAAATATGTGAATAGCCTTATTAGTTCATGTGATGCTTCATTTTGTTACTGTGCTATATCAATTAAGGGTTGGTGGATACATTTGGCTGTTACGCTAATTAACTGATCTGTTGCACTGAAGGCTAATGTAAGGATGCTTCTAGCCCAGTCCATATCACAGGAGTCTCATGGAATTTGTTAACATATTACTTTCTGAAAACACCATAATAGTTTTGTGCTACTGATTAGGAATAATGAAAGAAAAGGAGTGGAGGCAACAGTTCAAAGAGGGAAATGCCAATGATTCACCTTCTATAATAGGTGATCCCTTTATTCTATAATTCTGTATTCTATAATAGGTAATCCCTTTATTATCAATAAGGAATTGAAAAAATAGAACCTTTTCATGGGTATGTTGTGTATATGCTTTTTATCATGCAGATACAAATATTAAGGATAGCACTAACTAAGGTCACAATTTAGCTACTTGTAAAAATGTTTAAGTCCCATCAGTAGCACATGCATTGAACAGACACAGAAGTGATCCTGTGCTCAAAGTTTAAGCATATGTTTCACATTTCAGAGAGACCCACATTGTACCAGGAATTGTAAAGCACAATAAACAAGGCACACAGACATAACAACTACAGTGGTTCTATAGCAATACAAGTGGAGCAGAACTGTTCCAGCTTTAACCCTGCTTCATCCAGGGATGGATGGATGGATGTAGTTCACTGCATAGTTACAGGCTCACGAAGACCTCAGAGCAGAACAGCAGCTGCTGTGTATTCACAAGCAGCAGAGGCAGCTTCCTTTTCCAGTTTAAAGAGCTATATCTATCTATCGATAGATAGATAGATAGATTTTTTTTTCCTATACCCATAGTCAGATTTTTCTGTGATTTAATAGGGAGCTTTCCTATCAGGATATGGAATAGATCTAATTAAGATCCAAATGTTTTAAATGGCCAGGCCAGTCTTAACAAGGCAAAAAGTTCTTCTGACCATTTGTAGCGTTCATTTCCAAAGTAAAGATAATTTCATTCATTAAGGCCTTAGCCACATGATATACTTAAGACCTGATTAGCCAGCTAATCATATCCTAAGTTGTAACCTGGCAACATGTTAAAGAAATTCATGGCATCCTAAAATGAGGAATATACACAAAGTTGTTCCACAGAAAATGTTTAGTAACTTTGCAGTTGGTTCCTTTGATGGCATTAATTGAATGTGTGGCCAGGTACAGCCCCTTGGCTGGGAGTCTGAATCAGTGGATGGGACTCCCAGGTGAAGGGGTGCACCAGGCTCTCCTGTGACAAGGAGTCCCCTCAGCTGACCTGGGCTCCCAGTGGGGTGCACTCCTCCTGCACCAGTAGTAAGTTGTGATGGGATCTCATGCTCAATCCCACAATCACGCTTCCTGTTATGCATGTACAGCAGGGCAGAAAATACAATTGATAGGATCCAATGTATGATCCAAACATGCCTTTACATGCATGTCTGGCAGGTATCTACATGTTAAAGACCTGCCCCAGCAATTGTTTTCAGAGGAAGGAGATGTATCTCTTATCATGAGACTTGCTAGGTAGCCAAGTGACCTTCGCTACATAAAGTCAACAAATGCAATATGTTGATCACTTAATTTTTAGTCAGTGGAGGAATTATTTAAGCTACAATTCCCATGTAAGGGAGTGATAGAATGGATACTTACTTTGTTTTAGAAGCCTGTACCCAATGGACAGTCCTACTTCTGGAGGGACACTGCTGTAATGGATCTGCAGACCACAGCATGACAAATAAGAAAGTGTGTGGTGTGGTGTTTTTTTTTTCTTCAAACAATAGACAGCTCCCTTTTGAAAAAAAAAAAAAGAAAAAAATCCAGAGTAGAGAGAAAAATCTGACATCAAAAGATTCAAGTGCATTTCAAAAGGAAAAATTATCCAAAGCATGTCAATAGAAAAACTACTTTACTCCACCCTCCATCCTACTCTCTTGACTCTCCAATTTGGGGAAAATGCACCTTTCTTTCTTAAGATTGCTTCCTCAGTCAAGGTAATAATATGCAGACTCAAAAGGAAAATAAAATAAGGGATAAAGTGTCTCACACTACTAATGATTGACAAGATGACTGGTCTACTTTGGCTCAAAATCAAGCAGGCAGGAGTATATTGTAACCATTCTGTGGACAGAAGGGAATATATGTATATTTTAGGTAAATTTTGATAAATGATGCTTCATGTCATGCAGATTCCTCCAGGTCCCCCCTCCACCCCCACTTCACTTTAAAAACAGTGAACTGAAAAGCAGAAATTGTGGCTGCTTTGTTTTGAAAGCTATGTGGTCAGAAGCCATTTCTCAGACCTTATTACTAACAAACAGATCTTCTAAAAAAATTTTAAACCTTGAAGATTGCATCAATTGATCCAAAAGGCAGAAACACTATTTTGAACTACCTGCAAAATAATAAAGATTGCTGTGAACTGTATAAATGGTATTTCAGAAATCACTAATTTACAATTGTTTTGTTGTTCCTCCTCCCTCGTTTAGGATTTCATGTTTTTTGAACAAACTGGGAACAAGAACCAACGAGCAGGAGTGTGGCAGTAAAATCCTGTGTTGGATTTGAAACATTTCAACAAAGAGAAAAACTCCATGCTACTTTATAGTCTTTCCAAAATTATGCCACAAGGCTCCTGTGCCTGAAGATTTCAAAATATCTTGCTTGCTTGTTATTTTTGTGATCTAAAGATTCTATTATATATTTTTATTTGCAGTATCAAAATAAGTCTAATTGTCTAAACAAGTCTAATTGTCTATGCAAATCTTGTTTATATTTTATAATGTGAAGTGTATGTCACACTCTACTGTGATTATGACATAAGCCTTTTTCAAGATTTTTGAGTACTTTGTAGGCATTCCTGTTTACTACTGAAGCATGTAGTTAGTTAACTTCTGTTCTAGACATGTGGTTCTGAAAAAACCTTCAAGAATTCTTATATAAAAAGAACATTTCAGTTGTCTGTGTGTGTGTGTATATACACACACACACACACACACACACACACTGAACACAAATATCTTTATCATAAAAGAAGGCTGCACCAGAATTAACAGAAGTATAGCAAGGGTCTAATTACTCTTCTATATGTATCTGCCCTACACAGTCCAAATTTGCCCAACAGTTAAAAGTGTCTCACTGTGATTTAACCATATACTAGAAAACTAGAAAAAATGTACTATAATTCTTCATCTAATTCATTTCCACAAAAACAACAATTACTCCTAGGACTAGGGCAAATAGTTATATGTTGAAAGAATAAGAACACTAACTTATCTCTCACTGCTGTGATCACATCATTGTTTCTCTACTACTTTTCATGGCTATTGGTGAAGAGAATAGCTGTCTTGGGTATATAAGGGTTGATTGTGTGTGTGTGTGTGTGTGTGTGTGTGTGTGTGTGTGTGTGTGTGTGTGTGTG